GGGCCTGGGTCTGCCATTGGGTCTAGCTGGCTCTTGCATGCAGCATGCTGCTTCCTGATCCAGTAACCCAGTCCTTTGGTCAAGCCTGTTAGCAGCAGGGCCAGAAAAGAAGGCAGCTGACTCTACTGGGACATCTCCCTGGCAAGGAAGATGGCGTTTTTGATAGAAGTGAACTCTACCCCCCAGGTTACCCAAGACTCAGGCCTGTGCCACCCACTACTGCACTGTCTGACCTCTGTCTTGATGTGTGGCCTTAGGTGAGGTACTGTGCCTACCTGGGCCTAGACCTATTAAGCACATTCTCTGTGGTTTTTATTTGTGGTTCATTGTATAGCCCTGGCTAGCCATGAACTTGAAGGTCCTTGTGCTTTAGCCTCCCGAGTGCTAGGGTCACAGGTGTGTGCTACCACACCTGGCTTCTTCTGTGCTTTGCATGAGCCTGTCCTCGTTGGTTTCTTCTCTGTCTCTTTCTGTTTTATTTGACACAGGGTCTCATGTAACCCAGGCTAGTTACCAACTCTCTGTATGGCCAAGGATGGCTTTGAATGTCTAATCTTCCTGTATCCACATTCCAAGTGCTGAGATTACAGACATATGCCAACATGAACCCTTTATGTGGTACTGGAAATAAAACCCAAGGCTTCAAGCACTCCAGGGGAAAAAAAAAAAAGAACTCTACCAGTTGCAGCCTCCAAGGTCCCTTCTCTTTCCTGGACCCCATGTCAATTTGCAAAGCCTCACAGTTACATCCCCAAAGTAGGACATGTCACTCCTACTTCAATTTTGAAAAGCAGAATTTAGGTTCCAGGCTCCCACCTGCAGAGCTCATGTGTCTCCATTGTAAAGCTGACCCGGGATACTTCCACAGTGTGTTCTGCATTTGTGCTTCATGGATGAAGTCTGCAGGGGGCTGTTCCCATTCCCACCCAGCCAACCCAAATAGCAGGCCAGGGATGCTGCAGCCAGGGTCTTCCTGCTCTGAATGACAGACTGGGCCATTGCTCCCTTGACTTTATGGTGGGGATGGGGATTTCCAGGCCAGGCCAGTCTGCAGCTGTCTGCTGATGGCTGCCGACGTAGCGGTTCTACTCCACAGACACACTGCAATTCCTCCAGTGGTAAGGCTCTATTATCACTTTGGAAACCCCAGGGAAGCTGAGTCACACAGTCCCGCACAGGCGCCTGCCGCTGTCTGAGGCTGGGCGGTCACAGATGCCCCACCACAGCCTCTGTCTTTTATCTTCTCCCTATACACAGGCAGGGGCCGGGCCCTGACATCTGGGTGCAGTTAATTTGCAGATTGCATATTTCAAATTACATTTTAAAAATTAAAAACTCAAATCCTTGCAGCTGGCAACCTTGGAGGACATGGCCTGGGGGCTGCAAGCTGTTGCAGAGAGGTCTGCAGTCCTGGCACCCCACCTGCCACACACAGGGCATGTTCCCAGTAGGCAGCACCTTCTGTAGAAGTACAAATAGAAAGGGGGTACTGTTCTGCTGCAGGGGCCTACAGCCAAGCCATGCCCACAGGTGGAACAGAGACATTTCCTTAGGCAGAATGCTCAGGGGAGAGGGGACAGCACTTGTTCTTATCGCTGGCACAGGTGGAGTCAGGGTTAGAGCACAGAAGTTGGGGATTCCCTTTCTGAAGTCTAGCTTAGATTTGACCTTGGGATTTCCCAGGATTCAGCAGTCTGAGGTTGTAGGGACCTGGCTCCAAACTCCTGGCCCAGGATAGAACTCCCCATCTCCACCATAAAATCATGGGAACAATGTCCTAGTCTGTGCATCAGAGCAGGAAGACACAGGCTGCAGCATCCCTGGCCTGTGGTTGGGTTGGCTGGGTGGGAATGGAAACAGCCCCCTGCAGACTTCATCTATGAAGCAAGAACGCACTGTAGAAGTGTCCCAGTCAACTTAGCAGGTGGGAGTCATGGGGACCCAATTTCAACTCTTCAAAATTCACTTTCCATAGTCTTAGGGAGATGACCTCAGTTTCCATTTCTATAAAACAGTAGTGAATTAATCACTGTGAGTAGTGGCATGTGACTGTCCCTAGGGGGCTCATCCGGAAAATCGGGTCATCACTCTGAGACCAGGACATGCAGCATAAGCTCCCACCATTGGTCATTCACACAATTATAGCACCTGGTCAGCGCTGGTCATTGCCACATCTACCCAAGCATGCCCTGCCCATCCTCAGTTCTCACTGTGTCCACACTACAACACTGTGTTGGGTATGCAATGACAAGTTTGATCCTTGCCTGCCTTCAGGGAGTCCCCAGTATCATGGGGCAACAGTGTTAATGAATGAAAACTGGTCACAGGGTGACCTCAGAAGCCTGGTGATACTGAGACCCACATGAAGCTCTAGAAGGCTGCTTCCTATGGCCAAGCTGTGACCCTGCCCCAGAGCCTGCTCTGCACATACCAGATGGGGAGTTGAATGCAGTAGAGATGAATCATAGGTGGGGTGGCTTGGTCCCTAAGTCTTGGGTGGGACACCTCTGGAGCTGTTTGTGTTGGGTTTGGCCCAGGTGCTCTGAATGCTAGTACTGCTGACATGGCTGGGGGGGGGTGTCTTAGAGAGAGTAGACTTCAGTCCCCCAGAGGTGGGATTGCCCAATTTCCCTCTTAGGCATGAGAGGTCCATTTCCTTCCTGCCCGGCTCTATGCAGAGCCGAGACCTGCAGCTGCCCCTTGCCCTGTGCTCACTTTTGGAGTGTTCCTAGCTCCAGGCAGGGCCACCACCCTTCATGCTCTGGGTGCCAAGCAGCATCTGCAGAGAATAGCCCTGCTCCCTCCCCGCCTCCTCAGCCCCCAGGCTGCTGCCATGGGAACCACCAGGAACAGCCTGGTTCTCAGAGCCGCGCCATGCAAGAGAGAGAAATCTGGGGAGAGCTGGGTGCCTGGGACCAGAGCCCACCTAGACATCTGTCTCCCATGAGACTCCAGCCTAGAAGGGCTGAGTTGGGTTCCTGGCCTTTTGTCTCTGCCAGGCATTCTCTGCTGTGCCCTGGCACTTCCAGGCAAAGCTAGTGTCCATTAATAAAAGGCCCCGGGTTTGGCTGTCAGTCATTCACACCTTTGAGTGGTATTATTGGCTGAGAGGTGGAGTTGCAGGAAGGAGCTAAGATTTCTAGTGTTTAGGATTTGCTGGGATCTGGACACTGAATGATACTGAGCCCAGGTTCTGAACACCTATCTTGAGGCTGCCAGGCTCCATGAGCACAACAAGCAGAGCCTACCCATTGCCCCAACCCCCTCCCCACTGCCCTGACTCCCAGGAAAAGTCTTCAGACCGATAACTTGGCCAGCTGGGAAACATTCCCCTGAGTAGTGAATGAAAGTGGGCTTATTGGGTTTGCTTCTGTTTTGGCAGGGCTCGGTAAGGGATAGCCACCATCTCACCATCTAAGGCCACAGCTGGAACTAGGAGCCAGCTTTGGAAGATGCAGAGCCAGGAATCTAAGTTGAGGACACACTTAAGACAGTACCTTACAGACCCGGAGATAGGCAAGGTTTCTCATAGATCACACAGTAAAGCAGACAGGCCAAGGCTCCTAGCTCAGGCAGGCAGGAGCCCCAGTTCCAGATGGGGCCTCCAGGGGCTGCAGCACTCAAGGGTCCTGTCTGGACAGAGCCACAGGTCTCCCTGGAGTGGAGGTGTCCTCTTTGCTTTTGCCAGGCCACTCAGACTCTTCTCAACACCTTGGCTGGCCCACACCCACTCAAGCAGATGCCCATGGCAGGGAACAGACTAAGGTGGGTGTCACTTGAGCCATTGATAAACCAATCCCTGGTGGGTGCTATCAGAAGGTCAGCAGCTTCAGTGGCAAACCTGGAACCAGCCCACTCAAGGGGACTAAGACCCCATCCTGGGGGAGGGGGTGTGAGTGAGACAGACATGCCAGGTGATAGGGACTAGAAGAGAGGTTGGGCTTAAGGAAGGCTTGGGCTGGGCAGTGGGGAAAGGGATGGTTAAGTGGAAAAGGCTACCAGGAAAGAGGGCGTGGCCTGTACAGAAGACCTGTGCTGGGAGTGGCCAGATGTGTGCCTCAGTGTTCAGCCAACTTGTAAGAGTCATCAGGGCTTGCCACAGGTTAAGAGCATCTGAAGTGCTAAGTCCTAAGGGCTCTGGCTACCTCTGCAGGGTGTCTGTAGCTTCTATGGGGAAAATGCTATGTGAGGAAATAGAGAGGCCATGGATGTGACTCAGCCAGTAGAGTGTTTTCCTAGCATGCCTGAAGCCCCACATTCCCCTCCCATCACCACAAAAACCAAGCATATGTCATCCCAAGGCTCTGGGAGTGGAGGTTCCTTGTCAACATAGCAAGCTCAAGGCCAGCCAGGGCTTCATAAAGCCCTGACTTTAAAATAATAATAATAATAATAGTAATAATAATGATGATGATGTCGTGGATGGAGGAGATTAAGGTTTCTCTGGGATCAGAGTGAAAGGAACTCAGCAAAGGTGGTGCTGAACTAATGTGGGACTCACAAACATTTGGGAAGGGAGTTTTCTGCAGAGGGCCTGGAGGAGTAGCACCCATGCTGGCAGAGGACAGGTAGCATGGGGCTCTGAGACACATGTGGTGTGACTTGGTTTGATTTTTTCCAAGACAATAGCAGGCCTCCAGCTTCTGCCCTTGGGAGTGAGGCTAGTAGGGATGGAATAGGGGTGCCCTGGGGCAGTTGTGGTGTGCACAAAGCCAGCAGGGAGCCAGGGCACACAGGCAGTAGGGTGAGGTAGGATCCCCAGTTATGAGCCCAGATACTCAACTGAGAAAGCTCAGAGCTCTTGCAGAGTGCCTGTTAGGGAGGGACCCAGGGAGCCTAGCCTAGAGCACAGGGCAGGGCAGGGCAGGGCAGAGGATAATGGGATACCAGGGAGATAAGGCAAGGCAGCTGATGGTGAGCCCAAATGCCTGCAGTGGATGCTGGCAGACAGGGCTGGTGCTGTTGGGAGTGTGGCTCAGTCTCTGCCTCTCCTTTCCCAGTAACTACACAGCACTTCTTGGAGTGTGGATCTACGGCTTCTTCGTGCTCACCCTCCTGGTCCTGGATTTGCTCTATTATTCTGCTATGAACTACGACATTTGCAAGGTTTACCTGACCCGGTGGGGCATCCACGGACGGTGGATGAAACAGGCCCCCCGGCGGTGGGGGAACCCTGCTCGAGCCCCTCGGCCTGGACAGCCAGCCCCACAGCCACAGCCTCCCCCTGGTGCCATGCCGCAAGCCCCTCAGGCTGTGCACATGCTGCGGGGAGACACACACAGCCCACCCCTGATGGCCTTCCAAAGCTCATCTGCCTGGTGAGTGTTTGCAATAACAGCTTGGGTGGACTTGATGCTTTTATTGCTGTTGAATTTGGATCATGCATGACCAGGCTGTTTGCTGTCCTTTTTGTTTGCCAAGGAGGACTTGAAGCCACTGATGCTGGCACACGTGTGTCTAGAGGAGAAGCCAAAAGGACAGGTTGTCATTTGAGTTTCCTAGTTGCCAAGGTGAAAGGGGAAGTTGGATGGCTTTTCAATTTTTTTGTGGTTTGGTCAAAAGAAAAGGAAACTTGTCAGGGATCAGGGGGAGAGTTTTCAGCATGAGGCCAGGAAAGAAACCTGGTCTTTAGTTCCTTTTCTGTACACATCTGAAGGTGATTCAGGCAGGCTGTCCTGTAGTGACTCAGAGAGAAGGTTGCTGGCAAAGGAGGTGACATATCAAAGACTTGGCTTTGGGGATGGCCAGGTCTGGTCTCATCTGGGCAGCTGTCATCTCTGCCCTATACTCCATTGTGATGGTGATGGTAAAAGGTGGCAGCATTGCTGCCCAGAGCTGAAGACTTTGAAAGCAGATGTCTCATGGGGCCAACCAACCCAAGGACAGAGATGGGCATGGCCTGTTCCTTGACCTAGGGTCTTGGGTGGGTAGAGTCTGGGGGCCTAGGCAGTAGCTGTGGGCACAGACTCTGGGCACCCAGACTCTGAGCACAGCTTCCCTGGGGGTTACAGCCCAGAGCCCAGGCTACAAGGTCATCTTGAGCCCTCTTGTCTGTGACCTGTACCTCCTAGCACAGTGACCATTGGACTCCGTGGGCAACTGACCGGCACAAGCCTAGTGTCTGTCACTCCCCAGTACTACAAGCTCAGGCTGTTTTGTCACCCTTCGACCTTCCAGTCCTCCTGAGAAGTCAAGGGCTGTGTACCCCTTCTTGGGTTATTCTGGGGTGCCTGCTTCTCCTAGGAGGTACAGTTGAGCTTGTTAGCCACCACTGAAGCAGCTCCCAGGTAGTGACCTTTTCAATAATGAATGGCATAAATAATTAATGGGATGCATTTACAGCCTCTTGTGCTTATGGAAGAATAACTGCCTGTCTATCATGCAGGAGACAGCCACTGTCTGTCTTCCCTTGCATGGGCCCTGGGCTGGCTCCTGTGGTAGGAGGGGAGGGCGTGGAGAGCCGCCATTCAGGTGGAGAGCAGGACACAGATGAAGGGAAATCTACACAGTGAGCAGTCTGTTTACTGTACCCAATGGCAGGACTTCCCGAAGTGTGATCCTCACATCTGTGTCACAGAGCACCCAGAGTTCACTGGCCAAGAGGGCCTGGTCTGGTGGGGTGCTGAGAGTCACTGGGAAACATCTTGATGTGGACAAGTTTTAGGTGGAACAGGTCTCCTTCATCCTGTCCTTTGGAGTCCCCACCTGCTTCCCAAGAGGGCAATGAAGGTTATTAGTGTTCTACACTCAGCTGGGCATTTGCCTCCATGGAGGCCCATGGTACCTGGAGATGTACTGAATCGCCACTTCTGTTCCCGATGTCCCTGGCTTTACCTGCTGTGAGTGCTGTGGCTGCCCTGTGTTCCCCCTTCCCATACTGGCTTTCACCAACATGAACATATTGTGCACTGACTGTATGCCAAATGTCATGCTGCACCTTTGGAGTAGAGGAGGTGGCAGGGGTGTGCCCAGAGCTTGGAACTGCACAAAAGCTAGAGTTTATAGAGTCTAAGGCAGAGGGTAAGCCTGGCCATTTGGGACTCACATACCGTGGAGCTCAGATGTTCCTGCTCTCATGGTTCCTTCTACCGACTTTGGAAACTGTACATGAGGCCACCAGAGAGCCCATTCAAACCATGGCCTAGATGCGTGTGATGGAATGTTCTAGTCACTGCCCATATTTGCACACCACCTCCCAGTCCCTTTCTGCCCTTGGATGTGCCATGATATCGGATGAGGCTTCAGGTTTGTCAGGGAGAAGCAAAGAGAAAGGGCTGGACAACCATGTGGGACCTCCTCCTTTGCCACCCCGGGATCCCTTGGGAGCCTAGAGGGACATGGTATGAGATCATGGAGGACATCTGAGCTCTGCCTGCGGCTTCTTCCTCTTCATCCTGACTTGTGTTGAAGACCTCAGCATCATAACTGCCTGCTTCTCTGGTTTCTGACACAGCCTCCCCTTACTGAGGCACAGAGCTTCTTCCAGCAGAGGAGCCAGGTTACCAAGAGGGTGATGATGGCAGACCTGTATGCCACTTGGCCCCAAAGAGAGGCTTTCTGAAAGCTGAGCTGAGCTGAGTCTGGACTCTCTAGGGAGACTGAGGCTAAAGGCCAGGTGGCCAGCTGGGCAGGTCAGGTCAATGGCCCCTGCAAGATGGAGATCCAGGCAGCTGTGTGTGGTCTCAACTGCCCGGGTTCTAAGGTACCCTTGCCCTGCTATGGGGAAGATGGGAAAGCTGTGCCACCGACCACCCTGCTAACAGCAGGGCCACCACCCTGCCTGTAGCTCCCAGATGGGCCTTAGTGAATGGTAAGCCCTGGGTAGTCCCTAAATTGCCATTTCTGTAGCAATGCTGGAGACCCTGGGGGTTGTGGCACAGCCCTGGCCCCTCAGGCCCTGTGAACATTCACTCCATTCATCTTCTTGAGCAATGTGACTCCCTGGCTGAAGGCAGAACCAAGTGCCAAATTAAACAGCCAGGCATATGGCACTTCAACCAGCTGTCCTGTCCCATGTCTCTAACCAAGTTAGGGAGCAGGGGAGCTGGAGACTTGGCCTTCGTTGAATTTTACAGAGGAACATTTGTTGAGATTCTCAGGCTTCATCTCTGTTCAGGAGACCCAAGACTGAGCTCCTTAAGGCCCCAGTGCCCTCCACGCCTGAATCTCTCTTTACCTTCCCCAGGGCTCTGCCTTCCTCAGGAGGAAGCACTCCAGCCTCCTCCTTGGCTGCGGATTGTGGCCTCTGCCATCCCCAGACCATCTGCCTACCCAGGCTAATAGGTTTCCTCTCTGGCCCTGTCCCCTGCTGATGGCCCCAAAGCTTGTTTTCCTGTCACACTGTGGTTCCTGGTGGTTGCAGGCTCTCAGCCCATGTTGGGACTGCCTGTGGCTCGTAGCAGATGCTCTGCGAGTCTGCTGTGACTGTGCAGCAGGTCAACCAGTGCACAGGTGCAGTGCAGGATCTGGCTGAGTGTGGCCCGCTCCAGCCCAGGCCCCCAGAACCACCTTGGGGGAGCTGCTGGTGCCCTCAAGATCAGCATATCTGCCCCTGCATCTGCCTGTCCTGTGACAGGTAAGGAAGGGTCATTTGTCAGGTTGGTCATCCCATCCTTATCTGGGGAAGATGGGTAAGAGTGTGCTCACACACACACACACACACACACACACACACACACACACACACACACACACACACCTTTGGCAGCTGGCTCATCAGGATCTCAGGGTTGGAGTTGTCCTCGCTTCACAGATGGGGAAACTGAGACTTGTACAGTATGGGTTTGGACCGTGAGGGTGCTGAAGGAAGAGATGGAGCATAGGTGACTCCATTGGGGGAGCTGCATCACTAAAAGGCCACTCTGGAATGTGTGGTGGCTCACAGCACTCCCCGGATTTCCTTGTACACCTCACAGTCAGCCCCACTGAAGTCTCAACTCCCCAGCTGAGCTTCACTGTTTTACCAACTCCTGGCAGGGCCTGCATCTTGTCACTTTTCTGTTCCTTTCTCCCCTTGTGCCAGGAGGGAACATTTCAAATATCTGCACAGCTCATCTGCTATGTTCCTTGCCCAACACCCCACACCTCTTATGTCTATAGGTAAGGAAACTGAGGCACATAGCAATTAGGTGACTGCCCTTGGGTCACCAGGCCAGTCAGTGGTCAGAACTTGAATGCAAACGGACTGACTCCAGCCAGCTTAGAAGGATGCTTGGCTGGTTTGGCCGTCCCCTCTTGCCCACACTGAGGCCTGTCTCCCTGCCCTATCCTTTGTCCCTCACAGCAGAGTGACCCTTTTAAAACATAAATCAACACCAGCTAATGGAATCAAAATCCTCTTCACCTGATCACCCAGCACAGTGCCCTCTCTGACGGTGTCCCAGGGCCTCAGCAGCCGCTGCTCCCAACCCAACAAGCACCTCTCCCAAGCCTGTAGGGCTGGCTCCCTTCCTTCTGCCAGGCACATGCCCAGAGTCTCTGCCTATATCTCCCCTCCATCTCCTCTACCCCCCCCCCATTACAGTCTACTCCCTGCATTGTCCCTTTGATGTGTTACTGCCACCTGGTAGTGTGTCTGGTTTCCTGTTTGGTGTCTGTCTGTCTGTCTGTCCCACTGGAAGGGAACCCTAGAAAGCTGGCCTCTGTGGGGCTCCAGCACTGAAAACTCACCTAACTCACGGTGGGTGCCCAGCAAACACAGGTTAAGTGTCACTCAGGATGGTAGGTATGTTGAAGGCTCCCCATGCAGGTCAGCTCAGCCAGCGAACCAAGAAGTGCCCAACAGGTGTTCTCACTGCCTGAGACAACACAGCCATGCAGCTCCTACAAATGGGCCGCTAAATGTCCCCAACAGCCCTGTGGCATCAGTGTCCTTAGAGCCAATCCAAGAGACAGACCCAGGGGAACTATAGTGGTCTGTAGGCTGGGCAGGACGTGGGATTCAGGATGGCTGATGCCATAGCCCATGCTCTGGAAATGTAAGTTCCTTCTCTATCGGGACATCTGCCTCCTAAGACACCTGGGACACCTGACCCAGGCTGGGTATAATATCACCAGCTGGAGAGTGGCAGATTCCCTAAGTGGGCTTCACCTGTCCCTGGAGGGGCTCCGAGTGTCCCTGAAAATACAGGAAGCCTAGGGCTCCAAGTAGCCTCATAAGAAGCCTCTGGCATGGAGGCAGCAGTGATCAGAACTCAGTCTGCGCTTCCTCGGGAGGCCTGGTTTGTTGTCCTGGTACTTGTCTGGCTGGGGAACTTGGGCTGCAGGGTCTTTATCCAGCACCAAGGTCATTCCTAGCACTCAAGGATCTAGCTGAAGT